CGGCGTCTCTGCAGCAGGAACCTTGTAAGCTGGTGTCTCTGCAGCAGGAACCTTGTAAGCTGGTGTCTCTGCAGCAGGAACCTTGTAAGCTGGTGTCTCTGCAGCAGGAACCCTTGAGGCCAGCGTCTCTACAGCAGGAACCCTTGAGGCCGGCGTCTCTACAGCAGGAACCTTGGAGCCTGGCGTCTCTGCAGCAGGAACCTTGGAGCCTGGCGTCTCTGCAGCAGGAACCTTGGAGGCTGGTGTCTCTGCAGCAGGAACCTTGGAGGCTGGTGTCTCTGCAGCAGGAACCTTGGAGGCTGGTGTCTCTGCAGCAGGAACCTTGGAGCCTGGCGTCTCTGCAGCAGGAACCTTGTAAGCTGGCGTCTCTGCAGCAGGAACCTTGTAAGCTGGTGTCTCTGCAGCAGGAACCCTTGAGGCCAGCGTCTCTGCAGCAGGAAACTTTGAGTCCGGCGTCTCTGCAGCAGGAACCTTGTAAGCTGGTGTCTCTGCAGCAGGAACCCTTGAGGCCAGCATCTCTGCAGCAGGAAACTTTGAGTCCGGCGTCTCTGCAGCAGGAACCTTGTAAGCTGGTGTCTCTGCAGCAGGAACCCTTGAGGCCAGCGTCTCTGCAGCAGGAAACTTGGAGGCCGGCGTCTCTGCAGCAGGAACCCTTGAGGCCAGCGTCTCTGCAGCAGGAACCTTGGAGCCTGGCGTCTCTGCAGCAGGAACCTTGGAGCCTGGCGTCTCTGCAGCAGGAGCCTTGGAGCCTGGCGTCTCTGCAGCAGGAACCTTGGAGCCCGGTTTCTCTGCAGCAAGAACCTTGGAAGCCAGGGTCTCTGCAGCACAGGAGCCTTGGGGACTGCTGACCGTGGGTCAGGAGATGGCGGAGGGGTAATGCAGCTTGGACTCTCAATGAGGCAGCACAGGTTGCGATCAATGTAGCGGAGGCACAGCTTGGGACCCAGGAAGAGGCACTGCCAGAGATGGTAATGGATGCCTCTTGAGAGGTCTAGGAGGAAAACACACATGGGGAGCAAAGAAACAATGAGAAACCAGCAAACAGTAACTGAAGAGGAGGAGTATAAATGGAGACTGAACAAAGACTGTTCTAATCAGCAGATGAGGAGGCAGGAGTGGATGGAAGAATCTAGAAGAGAGCTAATGGGAAAGGAAAAAGGCACCAGGGGGCAACAAAGAGCAACCAGGGAAAATTGGGCTTAACTGTAACTAGAAAGAAACTTGGCTTCATTCAGCCTCTGTTGACACCATATTAATTGTGCTATGCCTCCCCAGACAACAAACTTCAGTCCAGTGGGCTTGGATTGTCACATCGGAAAAACAAAAAACAAAACAATCCAAACGTGCAGAGCAAATCAAAAAAATCATATTTTCCCCTCCAAACATCAAAAGCACAAAAAAGAAAATGTAAATAAAAGAAAAACACATTCGTTTTTTTCCTTGTGCAACACAATGTCTTTACTGTGGTGACTCTGGACCCTTTATAGCTGCCTGTCCCCTTTAGCGTGCGTACACGGTGCGATTTTCGGATCGATTTTCCAGTCTTGCGAGAATCTTTCGATCACCTCACGACCACCTCCCGATCAGGAATCATGGGCAAATCCCTCAGTGCGCAAACAAGGATTCTTCTGTAAACAAAGCAGCGTGGTAGGGGTGGAATGAATGAAATGCAGTTCTGTCTGTAAAATTGACAGACCGTAGTAGCCACGTTTGCTCAGCCATGTCTTTTTTCCAAATACCTTGTCGCCTTTTCTTTTTAGAAAGATAGACGGATAGACAGAGGGATGTTAAATCCTCTCCCTATAAATATTTAATTCTCTGTGAAAAAATCCTGATCACTCTTTAATATCCTCCCCAAAACTGACATGCAATGGGTTGTTTTTTAAAGCTAATGTGTGTAGTTGACCTATTGAAGGACTTTGTTGTTGTTTTATGCACAAAACAACAACAAAAATCTGACTAAATCCATAAATAAAACAGCTCGATTGGTTGTAAGGAGAGTGGAGACAGAGGACACTCTAATTAATGCGTATTACTGAAGGCAGATATATGCTCAGAAACCAGGCCATGTGTGTGTTTGTCACAGTTAACGCACATATGGGTGTGTAAAAGAAATAATAAGAGGACTTTTTGGTGTCACAACAGACAGGGTTGTTTTTTATAAATCTAGAGCCGCTGCTAATAAGCTAAGTAATCAGTAATCCAGCAGTTCAGATGATTTAGCATACACTGTACTCTAGGAGCAGAGAAAATGAACAACAGCATAAACCAGCGAAAGATCAAAAACCAGGACTGCTATAATAAATAAAAAAAATAAAGAGAAAACCAAAAAAGGAACACCCGTGGATGATGACACAAACAGATTTAAAACTAAAAGAAAGAGACTAAAATGAGGAACCATCATTGTTCCTTAACTAGACTCAAACAATGAAACATACTGATGAACTGAATTGAATTAGGATTAAATGATCAATCCTGTGTTGGCCAAGGATATGCATGAAAGGAGATGAAGTGTTTCTGTCTGTGTTTATTGAAATGATTATGAACACCTACTGAAGAAAATGAGCCCATTTCCTTTTTGATTGAAGATATGAATCGGTCTGTTCTGTGAGGAAGGAGATGGCAGCCGTCACCTCTGCAGGAAATTCACCAAAAGACACTGAGCTCAGGAAGATAATTCAGCATTTTTATGGAAGTAAATCTGTGTCGCTAGGATTTGAATTAAAAATGCTACTGAAATTTAAATGTTGTATGTTTGTACTTACTGTTTCAGTGTTAAAATATATTCGGAACACATTTTTGGCCTAAAAAAAAATGATCGTCATTATTTCTACACAGTTGAGTTCTGCACTCAATGGTAAGTTTATTACGTTTATTTTTCTGTAGTTGAGTTAGCGTTAGCTTGCATGACCGGCTCCGTCATGCTGGTTTTCCTTCAGTATGAGAGCAGCATGCGTCACGTCACGTGACTAAGAAAATGTAACAGGATTGGCTGGGTGTTGGACGCCACAATCCATTGCTAATGTCTGTGACCTGAAGTAACCCTTCCCTTTTTACACTGAATTTAGACGCCGAATTTAAGACGGTGAAATAGAGCCAGTTGAATCTCAGGAGGCTGAAAATATTGAGTTTGAATTTTGAAAGGTTGAATTTTTTTATATGCAGATTTTTTTAACATTGAAAAATTAAACTGAAAAATAAGTATTGAAAATGTAATCACTTTGAAATAGTAACGTGAATTTTTAGCTTGAATAGAAAATAACAAATTAAATTTCAGCTGTGTAGAAAAAATGACGATGAATTTTTTTTTTTGGTCAAAAATGTGTTCTGAATATATTTTAACATTGAAACAGTAAGTACAAATATACAACATTTAAATTTCAGTGGCATTTTTAATTCAAATCCCAGCGACACAGATTTACTTCCATACATTTTATTCTCCTCCTTATCAAAATAAAAGAATCGTTATTAATGTTTACAGGAAAACTCCGGTCAGCAAGGAATAATCAATGGATCATTATTTATACCTAAAACTAATACGTTCACAGTGATTTAATGAATTTAGTTTTAATCAATAAAAAAATAAACAGAGTCTGGGAGCGGCCATTTTTGTCCAAATATAGTAACCCCTCCCTCCTGCCATCTTCCAGCAGTGACGTCACAGTACGGTAAGCCTAGCGCCATTCTCCCCGCTTTACAAGCAAAATCAATGGGAACTACTAGACACATCTGCAATCAACAACAATTATTGAAGACTTCCAGAGGACTTCACCATTGAAATTCACCAGAGCTATAGTGAAACTGACAATGCCCACGTGCATGGCAGCTGGATGCTGGAATACATCGAGTAAAAGTGGAAAAAAAATGAGTTATTTCACCTTTCTGATTCCTAATCCTCCACGGACGGGTTGGTCGTTGGATCGCCAACTTGAAGAGGGAGGATTTACCACCGAACTTCTGGCCAGAGAAAAAACCCGTAATATGTAGCCAACATTTGGAAGAAGAATGTTTTCAAGATGACTTGGATAATAGCGCGTTGTGACAAACACCAGATACAGCACTGGGACTTGATCAACAGCCGATACCGCACCGTGACGTCACAAACCAGTAGGTGGCAGTAGTGTTCTTTGACAAACATGGATGCCTCCAGTAAAGCACATTCAAATGAAAATTACTCTTAATTAGAACAATTATGTACAACAGTATGTAATAATTGCATATTTAAAGTACTTTCAGAAGTTTGTCTCCTCAATGTGACCAGACTTCTACTTTAATACCTACAAAAGCTACAGTGAGGAAAGTAAATATTTGAACACGCTGCTATTTTGCAAGTTCTCCTACTTAGAAATCATGGAGGGTGCATGTCCACTGTTAGAGACATAATCTAAAAAAGAAATCCAGAAAGCAGCCATTTAAAATGGCCCTTCCAAGTCAAATGCCAGCGGAATGGCTGCCCAGTTCCCTGCAACTTGTAGAATGCCCTCCAACTTCCAGCCACAGGAGTGACGCCCTCTTTCTCCTGGGCGTGCATATTTCCCTAAATTACAGCGTCTGACCAGGAGATGGGGCTTCTCTTTAGATCCTAATGTGCACAAATCATGACAGAAATAATATTTTAGTACAATATTGACATTTAAAAAGGAATTGTAGGGGACCAGTCAAGGGCCCATTAAGTGGGGACATTTTTAATGGCTACTACTGTACTTCCAGTTCATATTCATCTTTTCTTACGTAAACAGCGTGTTGTGTTGTGCTTGCATGTGGCTTTGATTTCCTAAACCATTCAGATGGAAGTCTGATAGCAATTGCATGTAAGTAAGATAAAGAAATGTACCAAAAAGATCACCTTTTACAAAATATAAGGAATTGAAATGAGCCTTGTTTGAACACATGATGTAATTCATTGAGAATGATTGTAGATTTTACAGTTTCTTATGAGAACTTAATATTGCTTTGTCCACCATGATAATAATGAATCATTTGTCTCTTTGTCACTGTAGGATATGGGGAAATCTATCCAGTTACCTTGCTGGGTAAAATCCTGTGCATCATATATGCTATGTTTGGCATCCCTCTCTTGCTTCTGGTCATTCTCGATATGGGTGACTTTCTGGCTTTGGTGATGAGTAAAGGCTACGCAAAAATCTACACCCTCTGCAAGTCCCTTCGCTCCCGCAACTGGAAACCATGGAAAACTCCCAGGAGAGGACGGCGGTCAGACCGCTGGATTCTGGACGACGGCACCTCTGTTCTCCACAGTAATGTTATGATAGGTCAACCTCTAGATATCCAGCAGGTTCTGAACACTCAAGCAGATGTGCGACACAAGTCTATCCGTCTCCAAAAAAATAGCGAAATCTTTGAAAAGATCCTGAAGAGGGACAATTTATTTAGAAGTGATCCACTGCACAAGTCCCTTTCCTGCCCTGAACTAGACCAGCTGCCACCACCTCCCAGAGGATTTCAAATATGGGATTTCACAGGGTTAGGGGAGGTAATGGAGGAGTTTGATGTTCCGTTCATACTGATCCTTTTCATTGTTTTTGCGTACATTTGCTTTGGGGGTTTGGTTTTGCCAATGTGGGAAACTGAAATAAAAGGTTTTGACCCCTTCTACCTTTGCTTTATCACAGTCACCACCATTGGGTTTGGGGATATCATACCTAAACACCCCAAATACTTCTTGCTTGTCTCACTTTTCATTCTTGGTGGCATGGCCATTATGACCATGGCCTTTAAGTTGGGCCAGATTAGAATTGTTTCCTGTTATCGCAACTTCGTCCAGTTGATTAGCCGTTTAAATACTGAAGCTCCAAAAAAAGTTTGTGTTTCTTAGTTTTGAATCTCTTAATGTATTCTACCTTTTTTAGACATGAAATTGAGGGAAAATGTGCACGTGCCTTTCACTTTACTCTGATATCAAAAACATTTGTATTTATGCATTTAGATAGTGTGAGAATTACATGCATAACTGATCCGAAAAAAATTACTGCACAGTATCCAGAATAATATGTTTACACAGTTTTCCAACTACATGGAACTGGTTGTGAATTATTTGCTTTTTGGTGATTGTATTTGTTATGTGAAATTAAATATACCAGGTAACATATATATATACCATATATATAAGTATACCATGCTCAACATGAATCTAAAACAGACTTTTTCTTGGGCTAGACCTTTGTTTTGTTGTTCCTCAGAGTCTTAAATGTGGTGAATGCTGGATTCTACTTTAATTCACTTCTATGTCAGACTAATAGTTGGAGAAGAAAATGAACATTCCTTTATGTAGGGACAGTTAAATAACCAAGGACTTTACAGTTCTTAAGACCTTACATTCTGGATCTTTTGTTTCTGTTTAAGTTTTGATTTTTTGGGTTCCTAGGTTTGCTTTGTTTTTTTTCTGTGTTGCTGTATACATTTAGATAATTATTGTATTCTTAGTTTTGCCCTTCCTGGTTAGCTCTTTTTTCAACATTGTTGGTATTATTTACACTGGGTAGCAGTATTGCCTTACAGCAAGAAGGTTCTTGGTCCGTTTCCCGGCCCGGGGTCTTTTGCATGTTCTCCTTGTGCATGCGTGGGCGCCCTCCCACAGTCCAAAAACTTGTTAATTGGCGTGTCTAAATTGTCCTTATCTGTGAATGTGTTTGCATGGTTGTATGTATTTGTGTGTCTCTGTGTTGCCCTGCGACAGACTGGCAACCTGACCAAGGTGTACCCCGCCTCTCGCCCATAGACTGCTGGAGATAGGCACCAGCCCCACTCCAATCCTGACATGGACCAAGCGGGAGAAAATGGAAATGGATGTTTATCCCTGGTTATTATTTGCTGCCCCCTGTGTCATTTCCTTTCCCCTTAGCTCCTTCTAGTTACTTCTGTCCACACCTGCTCCTTATTAGCTAATCCGTCCCTACATTCTTTGTCTCCCATATTTACCCCTCGGTTTAGTTACACATTGCTGATCCCTCGTCATTTTTTAGGTTTATTCCTGCCTAGTGTCTCCTAGGTTTTTGGTTGAGTTTCTTGTCAATTGGTTCTGGACTATGGATTCTGTATTTTTACCTCAATAAATTTTGCAAGCAATCATCCCTGTGTGTTCTACTTTGCATTTGAGTCCACAACAACATCCACCAACCTTGAGAACAGTGAGACTAGCCACTAGCAGCTGTATTCTATAGGGATATAACTTTATTTTATATAACTTTATTTTATTTTTATGGTTATTTTTAATGTAGCATTTCATAGTAACTTGGCAGTGTTGAGACATAAACCATGATAAAGTTTTGGACATTGAGGACCAATGGCCATGTTTCTTCTTAACATGTTCACTGGAGAAGAGGATGCCATTTTCCTCGCAAACGGTTTTGAGACCTCTCTGCTCTGCACTTCAACCAGTGGCGCCTGCAGAAATGTTTAATAGGGGGGGCCAGATGGGGCCACTAAAAATCTTGGGGTGGCACACTGAAACTGTAAAGCCGGGCGTAACACTGTGCGATTTTTGGGGCGATATTCCAGTCGTGCTAGAATCTTCGATCGGGCTGACTTTCAGCCTGATCGTGCATCGTGTAGTGTACAGGGGGTTACGAGTGGTGATTCGCCTCTAACGACCACCTCCCGATCAGGAATCATGAGGTTTGGGAGAAAATCGAACTTGTTTGATTTACTCCCGACCGTCGTGGGCAAATCGTTCAGTGTAAACACAGCAGCGTGGCAGGGGTGCAATGAGTGAAATGTAGTTCTTTCTGTAAAATTGACAGACCGTAGTAGCCACGTTTGCTCAGCCATGTCTTTCTCCAAATACGTTGTCGCCTTTTCTTTCAGGGCTTTTAGCACAAAATTGCACAATTTGCCAAGCCAGTGCGTTACACTATAGTGAGCTTCATATTACCCTTAAGATTTGTTTGGCTTCTGGATAGACCAGTCAGAGCAGCTCCATCTCACTGCGGAGCTGAGTCCGACGTGCTTTTTAGTGGTGCAGTGTGAGCAGGTGAATTGCATCAGAGCGTCGGGCAGAACATAAATCATGAGCTGTGAGCTAAACCCTGCGGTTTAGTCTTACAGTGTGAGCAGTAGCTGCGTGCAACGACTGAAAATCGCACAGTGTACGCCTGGCTTAAGCCATGCTTTCAAAGTTTAAATATACTATTATGGTAAACCTGCCTGAAGAAATCATAAAGACTTAAATAAACACCTACGCATATCTTGGTTTATTGTGTGATTTTTAATGTTATATCGCTGGCTGTGCATAAAGTGGAGTGGGCAGGGCATTGCAAAGGGTGGTTGTGGTCACCCCTGACCACCCCCTGGTGGTGCCACTGTCTGTCACCCCCTCTAAGCTGAACTTGTTCCACAGGACACCTCCAACAGATGTGTCTGTCCCCCCCATGGAGCCGAGAACAGTAAAACCCACCACAGCACACAGGATTTGTTTCTCTTTCCATGAAGCTGCCTGCAGGTTCACATTAGAAGAAGAAACCAATATGGAGACCCAGGCTCAAGGTCCATATCTCTAGAATGAACAAGGCTAAGTTATGATGGTTGACATTCCATAACCAAACTGCTGAAAAACAGGCCGTTTGCAACACATTTCTTTGAGTTTCAGAACTTAAAGAACTGGACTGGAGGTGATGTCTCCTATGGAAGCCTTTCCCTTGCTATGAGCCTTCCCTGCTAAGCTTAAGTACTGGAGGAAATTCAACTTTCCAAATGCAGCAGAGATATAAGGTCTGCCACAGTTAGGGACCAACTCTAGTTAAACAATATGTCTTTTGATGAGGTTTTTTTCAAAATAATTCTATTCACCAAAAGTCACCTCAAGGCAATTTACAGAGAGAAGTCAGGCACAACATTCAGTCAGATCAGTTTGTAACAATCTAGAAAGGAATAACTATAAATTGAATTCAATGACAAAATACATGAAACCAACAAAAGCCACTAACCTTTTCAGAGTCCTCCCTTCAGCGGGGCCTGGCTACTTTTCACAACACAGCTCATTTTAGGGCACTTTTTAGAGACAATTCAACCAGATCATATAGTCAGATTAGTTCAAAGTTTTCTATCAAGAAAAAGCAGCTGATTTCATTTACTCATTGACTCCTCAGCGATCCTTCACACAAAGCATGCTTGTAGTGACAGTGGAGAGGAAAAACTCCCTTTGCACAGGATGAAACCTCCAGCAGAACCAGGCTCGGGGTGAGCGTCTAGTGTGGGCGGCCGACTGGGTTCAAGGAGACAGAAGCAGACATATAAAAAGAAGCAGAGATACAAAGGAAACTGTAAAAGGCGGCCCTGTTCAGGAAACACACAGCCTGGCAGATGACCTCCAAGTAGAGACTGACATTTTTTCGGGAATCCCACTGGTCAAGGGATTCCCGTGAGATTCCCGTGGGATGGGAGTCAGTATTAGTATCGACGGTACAGGATTAAAGATTAACGGGATCACACGGGAGCGGGAGCAAACCAATAGTAACTAAAAAAAACTAGGATCGATGCCAAAAAATAAAATAAAGAAAGAAAGAAAAAAATCCAGTACTGGCGCCGCCATTTTTTTGTTTTTTTCCTTGAAGCCTACACTATAATGCGAGAAAAAAACTAAACGACCCAAAATCCAACAGTGCTTCCGCTCTGAGTTTTTCCCCCGCGCTCAAAAACAAGAATGGGAGTAGTGCAGGAGCGGGAGTCATGCGGGATGGGAGTGGGAGTAATTTCACCATGAGTGAGATGGGACAGGATTTAGATTTCTACTCTGGCCCGGGATCAGAATGGGACACAATTTTTTTCTGTGGGAGTGGGACGGGACAGGAGTGAAAATCCACTCCCGCCTGTTACCATGTCAGAGGATGCAGAGAACACATCCAGTTAGTCACATTCAGAAACCAGGACTACACTGAAAAACAGGCTGATGTCCAACATCTAAAAACAAAGGTGTTGATGGCAGCAGCACAGCTGATATTTCTCTCCAGGATGGAGTCACAGCCAAACAGGAACAGACCAGATGAAGCTACTATGAGAACAAGCAAAGTGAGCAGAACTTTAGAGATTGAACAAACAAATACTGCAGAGTGGGAGAAGATAGAAAGAACAGGAATGATGAAATAGGGGTCCCTATGTCCTCCAGCAGTCTACGGCTATAGCAGCATAACTATAGAGATAGCTCAGGATAACCTGAGCCACTCTAACTATAAGCTTTTTGAAAAAGGAAAGTTTTGGGCCTAGCCTTAAAAGTAGAAGGGGTGTCTGCCTCATGGACTAAAACTTTAAAAATAGAAAGCTGGCTCCTTGGTTTAATGCAGACCTGCACACTATGAAGCAAAATTCTAAGAAAATGGAAAGAAAATGGCGCTCCTCATGCCTATGGGAATCCTACCGATTTTGGAAAAATTGTTTACTGCTTTACAAGACGACCCTTCGTAAAGCAAGAGCTGCATATTTCTCCTCATTAATAGAGGAAAAAAAGAATAATCCTAGATACAGTAGCTTTTTAATACAGTTGCCAAACTCACTCAGTTATAGCTGTGTTTAATCATCCATCCCACCTGCTCTTAGCAGTAATGATTTTATGGGATTCTTTATAAATAAGATTGATTCTATAAAAAGAATAAGATCATTAGCACACATCTAACTATGATTGGTTTGTCTCTGGAAGGTGGGGCAGCATCTGAAGTAGCCATAGAATCTGAATCAGGTTTAGACTGCTTTGATCCAGTTGAACTTTCAGAGTTAGCAAAATTATTGTCTTCATCTAAGCCTTCAACTTGTATGTTAGATCCAGTTCCAACCAGGTTATTTAAGGAGGTATTCCCTTTGATCTCCTCCTCCATTTTAGATGTCATTAATCTATCTCTGTTACAGGGATTTATACCAAAGGCTTTTAAGGTTGCTGTAATTAAACCTTTTTATAAGAAATAGTCTCTCACAATCACCTGGATCAAAGACTACCTGACAAATAGACCTCAGTTTGTTAGACTGAGGGGTCAGCTGTCTAATACATTATTTTTTAAATAAATCCCTGAAGACCAGATTCGCCTGCCGATTATGTCAAAGTTGTTTGTTTTTAATTTTCTTGTGGAATTTGTGCTCTTTCTGTTATTTCATAGTAGCAGCACCAGATGACGCTGTTGTCCATCCCTGATGAAGAGGACAGAGAACTCTAAGGAAATGTGAAGCAGGATCATCCGTTTCAGCTTCTACTATAAAAACTCTACAGTTTTTACTCCAAGTTTGACTTAAAATACATCAATCCTGCAGATCAGGGAAGGAGGGATTTGTTTGTAGTTACTGTTCAGGTAAAATATGGAAAATCCATTAATGAATAAATAAACTATTAGCTACCTTAATGTGAACTTTCATACACATTTCTATGAATGAAAACCTTTAAGCCGCATCAAAAGAATAACATTAGGTTAGAAGATCAAGACCAAGAAAAAAAGCACAGTAATGTTTAACACCTGCTTTAGGTTGTCTTTTTTTAATTCACCTCATTAGAAGAAATAATTTGCTTTATGAATGTATATGGCTGCAAAGCATTCAATGTAAATAAATATTTTTTTTAATAACTAGTAACTAACTTTTGGTATAAATATTAACAGATTGCATTTAAATAATTTTAGTTCAAGATTGTTGAACCAGTTCAGAGCAGATACGATTGGATATAAATATGAATGGGGGGGTTCACTGCAAAAAGAAAACATCTAAATATGTAATTTTCTTCTCAAAATAAGTGTATTTGTTGTTGAATTGGAACAAGAATATTACCATTTAAAATAAGAAATCCAAATTTTAAGTGCATTTTATCTAATCTTCTTTTAAGAAAAAGAAGACTAATTCCATTGGCCAATCATTTTAGTTACATACCCAAATTAAGGGTAAATATACCCAATCTAAGACATTTTTATTTATTTCTAAATCGTTTTTGAAGTGTAAAATCAAAATCGCATAAAATAAATGTGTTTGCCCTCAATTTGAGCAGTTAAACAAGACAATCTGCCACGGAGGGAGTTTCTGTCCTACAAACAGAAAAAAATTAATGTATGCACTTCATTGATTTAGCGGAGATGCTTTGTTTTTATTGTTTTAAACTTATTTTTCAAAATAGAGTCTTATTCCATTCACAAACTTCCATACTGTTCAACCCAAAGCTAACATAGCAGCATTTTAATTTAAAGTGTTTTTTTTTTTGTGATATTATTTTAATTTCCTGTTTTCTAAACAGACAGTTTTTTTTATCTTCCTGTCATCGCATTCTTACAGTTACTGTAAAACTCTTCATGCAGGCCACTCTGTTTACATGTATGGTTAATACAACTATTCCTTATTTGTTCATATTAATTATGCTTTTGATAAAAACTCCTTTCTCTAAAATGCCATCAGAGCGCTTATAATAAGTGTGTCTCAGCCCCCTCCTTCAGTGTCCACCATATTGGATCAGTCCATTTGCTGCACATGTTCAGAAAGGTCCAAACAGACAGCAGCAAACCATTTGAAAACAAACAATGTGAAGAGCAGTGTTGCCGACTTAGCGCTTTAGTCACTATATTTAGCGACTTTTCAGACCCCTCTAGCACTTTGATTTCAAAAAAGCGCCTATCCCAAAATCCAGCGACTTTTTTCTGCTACTGGAGACTTTGTAGACAACATCTAAAAGCAGCGAACTCTGCTCTCCAGAGCCAGTAGATTGGTAACCCCGCCTCCTGCTCTCCTCTATCTTGTCTGCTGTCATGATTCATGCAGCTATTATTTCATCCAAATGAAAAATGGAGAACAGAGAAGCAGATCATGGCTTGTCTACAGTGAAAAGAAGGACTGGGTTATTTACTTTGGCCTTTTTGGAAACACAGGAAGGAGCAATCAGCTAAGTGAGCTTAGTGCTTGGAAAAAAATCTTTCATTCCTTTAGAGACAGAATGAAAAGTCAGCTGAGTATCAGAATCAGAATCAGAATACTTTAATAATTCCAGAGGGAAATTACTTTTGTTACACGCTCTAGTTACAGTTTTACATGATATATACACACATCCAACTATACAATATAATAAAGATAAAAAATAAGAATAAAAAGAGATAAAATATATATACACATATAGCTCTTCTATATATATATCTGTACGTATATCTATGTATATGTAAAAACTAAATCCAAATAAAGTGAAAAGTCCAATTAAAGTGAATAAATCCAAGTAAAGTGATACGTGGCGTGCAAAAATAGTGCATAAATGTCAATTGGGGGGGGGGGGGGGATTCTGAATCACTAGAGGGAGGCGGTATATAGGTTGAATACAAAACATAGAGAGGAAAACAAGAAAATGGACAAGAAGAGAGGGACAAATCTAGAACAGATAATGGATGTCTATTCTATTAACATTTCTCTATCTGTAGAATGGGTCTGTTTTATGTGTTGCCTTCTCAATTCAGTGGGCCCCCTACGTTCTCGGCTACTTTCAGGTTTTTTCTTCTTCTCCAGCTTATTTTTGATGTTTTTAAACACCTGCAAACATCTGGCCTCAGAGCAGATGCTCCATGATGATCTTCCTTCTGCTTCCAGGGCAGGGCTGCTGTGCAAACTGGGCTATTGTGCTGTGATGCAGCATCTCTGCTCGGCTTGTTGGCAAACAGGTCTGTCAACATTAAGGCTCGTGACGTCAGCAGCCGCCCGGGTCGGTAAAAAGCCTTGATCTCCTCCTGCCATCTGCGCTGCTGCTGCTCCCTGAGGTAGGAGCGGACTTCCTGAGGCTCTGACTGCGCTTCTCCTCCATCTACCTGTTGCTGCTCCGCTGGGACCTGATCACCATGGGGGGGTTAGACGCGCTCCGGCAGCTCAGCTTCATCAAATGGCTCCGAGAGGAGCGCCAGTCCAGGAAACTCATTCTCTTCATAGTTTTCGTGGCTTTGCTCCTGGACAACATGCTGCTGACAGTGGTCGGTAGGTGTGCACCCCCACCCTGCACCTCCCTCCACTTCTCCATCTCCTTCCTTTAATTATATTCTTCTTTCCTTCATTATTTTTAATTTAATCTAAATCTGGAGCCACTTTTTCCGCATCAGCATCACAGAGATGCTTTTATTCTTTATATTCTTTCATTTACAGTCAGGATTGGAGAATTCTTTCCAGCTTTTTTCAGATAACTTTTTTTTTCCTGTTCATTTTTTTTTTATTTACCGGTTTGGGATTCTGTGTTTAAATCTGTTTTAAATAATTTTAGAAGTTGATGAATGATCTGCACATTACAAAGACTCCATTTAAGGGAGAACCGACAGAAAATTGTCCTTTATTGTCCTTTTTTGGTACACTGGAAAAACCATTCACAAATAAGTAAAAATGTCTTAGATTAATATTATTTACCCTTAATTTGAGTAAATAAATGAGACAGTTTGCCAATTTAATGAGAATTTTTACTCTTCAAATAAGATAATTAGATAATATGCACTTGAAATAAGACAATGCAGTTGTGTTTTCTCATTTTAAACCTAAAGTTTCTTGTTCCATTGGCAAAATGTCTCTTTTACCTCCTAATTTCAAGAATAAATGCACTTATTTAAGAAAAAATGACTGATCTAGATTTTGATTTTTTTTCAGTGTGTATGAACAAAATATCTGCCCCACTTGGTGATTTTTATTAATCAGGAGCTTTTCATTTGGCTGCATTCAGAGCATCTATTTATCAACATCTACATCGGAGGGTTCTAAAAGTGGGGGTCTGAACACCCTGGGGGGGTCGCAAGATGGATTTTGCAATCTTTTGTTTGATTCCTGAGGTTTATGGAGGATAAAAATAGATCATAAAATAAACCTATGTCAGATTCATTTATTTATGTTTGTAATATATGATTCAAATAGAAAACAGTTAAATAATCAATTAAATATTTATTTTTCCAGGTTTTTATTGTCATTACACTGTCACACCTACAGAGCAATGAAATTCACTCTGCATTTAACCCATCCTCTTTTGGAGCAGTGGGCTGGTTTCCCAATGGAAGGTGTGTTTTTAGGCTTAAAATTAGGTTGATTAGATAATATGCACTTGAAATAAGACAATGCAATTGTGTTTTCTTATTTTAAATGTAAATTGTCTTGCTCCATTGGCAAAATGTCTCTTTTATCTCCTCAATCGAAGAACAAATGCACTTATTTTAAGAAAAAATGACTTATCTAGATTTTGATTTTTTTCTAGTGTGGGCTGCCATTGTGCAGCACCCAGGGAGCAGTGTGGGGTTAAGGGTCTTGCTCAGGGACCCAGAGTGGCAGTCTGTGGGAGTGGGTTTCAAACTCAGAACCTCTGGATTCCAAGCTCTATGCCAATTAAACACAATTAAAAGTCCTATTGAATAATCAACAATTGAATATGATAAATAAAAGGATCATTACTAATGTAAAACTATAGACTTAAATTTGTTTTTATTTGTCAGTCTGTATTTCTGTGATTTGGGGGAAATGTTCTGTTTTTCTGTATCTCTGTTCCTTCATTATCTGTCAGATTAGAGTTCACTGCTGCTCTCTGTCAGCCCCAATATCGGCTCCTTCCTCTCTAAATTGAGATGAAATGATCCGGTAAGCCTTGGGCCATTTGGTTCTTAATCCATGATTTTCAGTCGGATAAACAACATTTGCCTTAAAACTTTAAAATGGTTTCCTTTCGTCTTTGAGCTCTAAATTTGCAGAGACTTTTCACCGTTCCTTCATCTTCACGTCTGCAACCTTTCATCCTCCTGAAATCCAGTTTGCTCTTTAATAGCAAAGCTGCAGGAGTTTTTAAAATACTGGAAGTGCAACAAAAGACAACTTTATTGGAATATGTTGAGTTTAATGTCAAACTGGGGCCAAAAAGTATTTAGTCAGCCACTGACAACCCAGTCTCATGGGAAAATGTACCTCCACTACGTTGGTCCACACTGCAAAACGTAGTGGAGGAACATTAATGGCCATTTTTTTGTGGCACTGTTACATTTCTTTCGCCTATACGCTTTCTATTGTTTTACGTCCTAGTCACGTGACTTTCAAGATTCCAGCTGGGAGAAGAAAAAATATATATAGATGGCCGACATTCGCTCATTTTTTTGTGGAAAGATTAATAACTTGAGTTTGTTTTTGCATTAAAATGAGTTTTGATTACATTTCTAGTGAGAAATTTATAGTTTGTTGGCAGAATATTTACTCAGGGAATGTACATATTCACTTGCTTGTTCGCTTCTTGCAAAGATTTTTCAAGATAATGTGAAACTGTAACATTTTGGTATAAACATGGCTGAGATTTCTCTAACTTTTAGTGGGAAAATCAATTATTTCAATCAGTGTCTGCATTTAAATGGGCTTTGATTACATTTATAGCGAGAAGTGTAGGGTTTATTTACATTATATTTACTTAGTGAACATACATAATCACCTGCTTGCTAGTTTTTGCTATGGTTTTTCGGATCTCGTCAGGATTATGTGAAATTGCAACGTTTTGGCTGCTACCCATCGCCTAGCATTTAGCTGCCGCCCCGATTCAACATTGAACACACCCTTTTAAATTCTTTGAAAAGCATAGTAATAATAATAATATTTTTTTAAAGCAGTTAATGATTCCAACAAGCAAACTCATATTATAATTACCTTAAAATATATTCTGATGGTTCTAAAAAGGGTGTGTGGGAATAGGAATATATGTACCAGAGTTCAAAATACAAATTTCTAAAAGAATTTCAGATCAACTATCTGTTTTCACAGCAGAGATGGTGGCAGTTAGAGTTTCCAATGGGTTGAGGAGGTCAGGGCAGACAGGTTGGTGGTATGCACGGATTCCAAAGCAGTTTTAGAAAGTATTCAGGGAGAAGGAAATAATAGGAAAGATTTAGTATTAGAAATTCAGCACAGTTTATTTAGATTATACAGGAGTGGCATTGATATTTGGTTTTGTTGGGTTCCAGCACATGAAGGGGTAAAAGGAAAGGAATTAGCAAAAAGGGCTTTAGAGGAGGCAATAACAATTACAATTCCTTTAGGGAAAGGGGAAGGAAAATCATTTATTAAGAGGAAAGAAATTGAAAAATGGCAAAAAAGGTGGAATGAAGATAAAAAAGGAAGAAGGTTATATAAAATACAAAAGTCAGTATTAAATAGAAATATTAATGAGAGAAACCGAAGGGAAGAAATAATAATGATCAGATTAAGAGTAGGTCATACTTATTTAAATGACAATTTATACTTAATAGAGAGGAAAAATAATGATAAATGTGAAGGATGTGGAGAGATAGAAAATGCAGATGTATTGATGAACTGCAAAACATATGAACCTGAAAGGAAGAAATTGAAAAGAGGACAGGCCAAGAATGGAGTCTTAAAGGATTATTGGGAAATAAAGGAAATATAAAAGATATTTATAGATTAAGGAAAGCATTATATATTTATCTTCAGAATACAAAATTAACAAACAGAATTTAATAGATGTAAAACAATGTTGCTACACACTCATGAACAGTAGGTGGCGGTATGCACGCCCCTTCCCTAGAGACCGGTGGGGCCGAAAACATTTTGAATGGAAATCAATGGGGAGAAATGAATAAACTTCTGGTCCCAGTCGCTCTCTGTCACTGATTCCAGATATGCTGGTTGTGTATTTAAATTGTTTTGGTTTTTTTTTAGTTCCTCTTTGGTCAAAATCTGGTCAAAACCCATCAATGAGATCGCACCAAACAGGAAGTTAATTGCACAAAGGATCCGGTAGATTTCCAAATAAAACACATCCGATCTTAACCCATGATCCTTTTTTTAACTAGTTTAATTAGTTTCTCCCGTATGCCACGACGTAATGCATTGATCTGAAAATCAACCTCAGACGCAACGCACGCAGTGGCGAGGGTTTGATCCGTCAGATGGAGTTAAATCACAAAGAATTCAATGTTGAATCGGGGCGGCAGCTAAATGCTAGGCGATGGGTAGCAGCCAAAACGTTGCAATTTCACATAATCCTGACGAGATCCGAAAAACCATAGCAAAAACTAGCAAGCGGGTGATTATGTATGTTCACTAAGTAAATATAATGTAAATAAACCCTACACTTCTCGCTATAAATGTAATCAAAACCCATCTAAATGCAGAAACTGATTGAAATTATTGATTTTCCCACTAAAAGTTAGAGAAATCTCAGCCATGTTTATACCAAAACGTTTCAGTTTCACATTATCTTGAAAAATCTTTGCAAGAAACGAACAAGCAAGTGAATATGTACATTCCCTGAGTAAATATTCTGGCAACAAACTATACATTTTTCACTAGAAATGTAATCAAAACTCATTTTAATGCAAAAACAAACTCAAGTTATTAATCTTTCCACAAAAAAATGAGCGAATGTCGGCCATCTATATATATTTTTTCTTCTCCCAGCTGGAATCTTGAAAGTCACGTGACTAGGACGTAAAACAATAGAAAACATATAGGCAGAAGAAACGTAACAGTACCACAAAAAAATGGCCATTAATGTACCTCCACTACGTTTTGCAGTGTGGACCAACGTAGTGGGGGTACATTTTCCCATGAGACTGGGTTGCCACTGATTGTGCAAGTTCTCCTTTTTAGAGTAATGACGGAGGTCTGGCTCCGTAAAAAGCATTTCAAGGTCCTGGAGTGGCCTAGCCAGTCTCCAGACCGCTTTGAAAAGTTGTGTTGCCTAGCAACAGCTCTGAAACATCACTGCTCTAGAGGAGATCTGCATGGAGGAATGGGCCAAAATACCAGCTAGAGTCAGTGCAAACCTGGTGAAGACTAAAGGTCTGGTTATCCTCCTGCAACAGTGTGTCGCAGTGAGCTTGTTGCAGATATTTTTGATTTATGCGCAATATTGAAGCGTAATCTGCGCTATTTTATTCCACGCCACAACGCAAGAAGGTCAATCAGGAACTAGCTGTGGGTCTAGATACAGCTGAGGCGGTGAGGGGGAAAGTTTGTGCGACAATGGAGGGACATGAGGGCCAAAAAGAGCGGGGATCCAGGTGGAAAAAGGGTCCCAGCGTTCTCGCTCACCTCGCTCTTCTAGCTGGTCCATCTTCACGAGTCGTTTTCCACAATGGCGGTCATACAAACAAAGCAGGAAATACGCATAGTTAATTGACTGCGATACCCATGCAGACGGCCTGGTTTCTGAGTACAAATCTGCCTTTACAGGAAACGTTTGCCCTCTATCATTGCCAACAAAGGTTACGTTACAAAGTATTGAGTGGAACTTTTGTTATTGACTAGATACTTGTTTTCCACCATCATTTCCAAAATCCACCATCATTTCCAAAATATTCTTTAAAATTCTTTAAAAATCCTACAATGTGATTTTTTTTCCTCATTTTGTCTCTCATAGCTGAAGTGCACCTATGATGAATTACAGACCTCTCTCATTATTCTAAGTAGGAGAACTTTCACAATCAGTGGCTGACTAAATACTTTTTGGCCCCACTGTATTTAAAGAAAGAGAGATGTGAATCCCTCCCTTTGGGTTTTTCCACCAGTTCCCATCATCCCCAGCTACCTGTACAGCCTGGATGTGACGTCGGATGCAGAGATACGGAACAGCAGCGTGTCTCCTCAGGCTCCCACTGGGTCTTTCCACACCATCGTGTCTTTGTATGACAACGCCGTCAGGCTGTCGGGCTCCAACTCCACCGTTGGCCCTGCTGACCTGCCCTCCACCCCTGCTGCCTTGCAGCCTCGGCTGAACTCCACTGACTGCCCTCAGTCTACCAGCAGGCTGCTCAATGAAAATGTCAAAGTGGGAATGCTGTTTGCTTCCAAGGCCACCGTGCAGCTGCTGACCAACCCCTTCATCGGCCCGCTGACCAACAGGTAGGTTTGGACTTTCCTAAAAAGTAAAAAAAACATCCACTGGACTTTGTTTCCAAGTTAGAAGATGTTTAGCTTCCCATTCAGGAAGCTTTTTCAATTCAAAATGTCAGGAATAACGTTGAGTTCAATGTTTTATACAGTAGCCCAACAAAGCCTTGTTTTGGCTTAAAAACATGCAAATAGAAACAGATGAAAGGGTCCACCCTTTTTGATTGGGGGTCGTCTGGCTTCTTTGTTACCTGTCTATGTCTCTGAAAGCGGGGTCGTTAAAGGGAATCGTTGGCCTGGCTGAACAGGCGAGTTCTTCTGTCCCCCTGTAAAGGGGTGGGGGTTGCGATGATAGCGGGAAAGGATCAACTCAATTGCTGCATTGTAGGTTTTTGAAAGCTGAAATCTGAGTCGACCCTGAGTAGGTTTGGACTGTTTATAGTACCGTCAAACTCAATCCAAACTATTTCAGTCATTTGATACTAAAAGGATTTCCTATGAATCTGTATTTCAGTGGATTGAAAATTCAGTTGAAAAGTTCACTTCAAATTCTACTGTAAAGTTCCGGTAGCTTTGGCAGCACATCCGGGTCCTTCAAGACAGACTAGAGTAACTGAACACAGATTGATGTGGTGCAGATGGTGAAGCTTTACGGCTGTATGTAGATGGTAGGTGTGGAGCCAATCAGAGCCTGGTAGATGCCCTGCATCCGGCCACATGAGCAGCAGGAAACACTCAACTTTGCAATAAATACACAGTAAACCCGAATGTTGCCAGAAGTCATTTAGGCTGAGTGCTTTAAAGTCTTAAAATGTCTCAAATGTGTTGAGTTTTTAAACTAGTTGTGTTTTATTGAAGCAAAACTTAATTAACTTTAATAATGAAGTACTGCAGATCTTTACTTCTGAAAAGCTGTAGAAGTAAATAAAATATCAGTTGACATGAACTATTTGAAATAAACTGAAATCAGAATGGAGAACTATGACCTCATAAAGAAGGATTTTCTCATAATTAAAAATAACTATAACTAAATAATTCCAAAAAAAACAACAAAAAAACTATCCACTGGTCTTTGTTTCCAAGTTTGAAGACGTTTCTCTTTCCATGCGGGAAGCTTTTTCAATTCAAAATGTCAGAAATAGTGTTGAGTTACAGGCTTTATAGAGCGGACCAAAAAAAAAAAGCCTTGTTTTTATTTAAAAAACATGCAAATTGAAACAGACGAACGGGTCCATCCCTTTGGAATGGGGGCCGTTTGGTTTCTTTGTTAGCCTACAATACCCCATACCTGTCTATGTCTCTGAAAGGGGGGTTGTTAAGGGAATTGTTGGCCTGCCTGAATAAGCTAGGTGTTCTGTTCCCCTGTTCTTGAGTTCTGTAATTTATTCTGGTTTACAGTGTATTTTTCACACGCTGCTAGTTAAGATGCTAGATTAGCATAGCGTGCAGCAGGTCATGGCTCCACACCACAAACAAATGTACATTAAGCTAGTTCCCAGTTCCTGCTAAAGCAGCAGTGATAGATTTAGGAAGACCAGTATGGGGACATGCACTGATCTACAGTTTAAAACAAATAACTTTGGATCTGAAAAAATAAATGCAGGATTTATTTCCATCTCATTTTGCATATTCAGATTTACAATCGAAATTCAGTTTTTGATGGGAAGTTGTTTTTTATGAACAGATTGAACCTTGATTTTTGATGGAGATTTCCAAACTGTTTGGCTTTGATGCATAAATGAATATGTGGAATTTTAGACACTTAAACTTGCTTTATGAGAGAAATGTGAGCATCAATAAAAGCTTCAATGAATATTTCACTTTGCATGTTTTCTAAAGGCTTTGTTGGGCTACTGTATAAGAGCCTGGAACTCAACGCTATTTCTGACATTTTGAATTACAAAAGCTTCCTGGATGGGAAGAGAAACATTTTCAACTTGGAAACAAAGTCCAATGGATTGTTTTTTTAACTTTTTTTTTTAATCAATAAAAGCTATTTTTATGAACAGCTGCCAAACCGTTAATATTTAAAAGCTATTTTTGTACCTCAGAAATAAACACATTTTACACATAAAGATAATAAACATCCTCTCTAAATATGATCAAAGCAAAATTTGGAGAATCTCAAGTTTTAAAACTATTATGAAAAAACAATGCATTTCTAAAAACATGATTTTATTTTTTAAACTCCTAAAAATTATCTTTTCAAACAGCATTTCCTTTAAAAGTGTTCAGCGCAGTTTGACTTTGAAACTAAATCTGAATTCTTATTGTTAAATCTGAATTAAACTGTGACTTTCTACACACATTTGTACAAATCGATGGATTTCTTTTAGAACTGAGTATTAAATTAAAAAAGAAAGTCCAAAAATTGAGATTCTGGGACTGATTGCTGTAAATTGATGTGTAGAGCTGGGAAATTAATTGCTTTAGCAATATAATCACAATTTAACAAGGCGCCATTTTCAAATCGCAAAAGTAACCATTTTTGGTCATATTACATAAGTATTTAGATTTATCCCTCCAGCCTTTTGGTGGTAATATTCTTGAAGTGGGTTTGCAGCCACACAGACGGGAAGAGAGAAATCTAACCTGCAAGTTCATGCATGCAAGTAGAATTGATCACTTCTTGACAAAAAGGTTAAAAGTCCTGCAACAAAACTCTGCACAAGCAAGCTTTCCAGGTGATGAAAAAACTGTAACCCTGGGCATAGAAACATTTTTTATTCTAGATTAGTCTCACTATAATCTCGGAATTAATCTAGATTAATCTAGATTAAAATGGCTCATTTCAATTTTGCCCAAAGGCTTCATGCATCAGAATCGGAGTAACTTTATTAATCCCTTACAGGAAATGTTTTTCTTTGGAGTGCAATCGTTTACAGAAGAGAGAAAAATAAGATTATAAGCACAAATAAAATAAAAGAAGAAAATAAAATAAGTATGATATGTGTGTGCTGCCTAAATAATAAGTAAAAATAAATCTTTGTACAGGTTTCTCAAGCCAGGTGGCGCATTAGACCAGGGACTCATCTCCTGTTACCAAAATGCATCAAAAACTGCTTGAGAAAGCTTTTCTACTATGATAACTGGTGATGAAAATAAATAATATTCAATGACATTTATTTGTGTTTAACAGTGTGTTTATTCACATAAATATTAACCCTTTAAAGCCCGATCCAAGAATAAAACAAAACAGAAAATAACTTTTTTTTTTTGGTTTGAAGTCCTTATTTGGCCTTTTAACAAAGTATGTAAAAAGAAAAAACAGAAATACAGTTTTTATATTAATAATTTATCACTATGCGATAAGTCAAGATTATTTTTTGTGTAGTCTTCTGCCCTCTGTTATCAGGTATATCTGATTGTGTACAATAGGATTTTGAGCAAAGTTTTTACCATTAAATTATGCAAAAGGTGTCAGACGCAAAACATTTCAGAAACCGTATGTATCAAATATGATACATTTGGCATTATAGGGTTAATTCTGAACTGTAGGCCTACATAATAGGTCCTGATGAACTGTTTACAGTCAGTAGCTTTGTATTAGTAAATCCAAGCTCTCCTTTTTCCACCAGTCACTCAGGCAGTCATTGTAATGTCCTGTGAGGCTGCAGTAGCAGAAAGGGCTGCTGGCTAATGTCAAGATGGGGAAAACATCCCCATTCCATCCTAGATTTGCGTTAAACAGGGTTGTTTATGTTGGTAGTCTGTTCCTGCTTAGCGAACATTATGTTCTGGAGGTTGCAGCTGTAAGACTGAACATTATAACCATGGAAAGAATGTTTCACCAGTTGCATATAAAGGAACACACAAGCTTGGTTACATCGTGAGTTACTTGCTGGCAGACCCAGCTCCCAATCCACTTCTGAGAATAAATTAACGGCGATATTTTCTTTATCGTGCAATAAAAGTCTGACCTTAACGGGAAACATTAATGCCGATGACATCAGCGAAACATTTACATGATTTTGGTTAATGCAAATGAAAATAAAATCGCAATATTGGTTTAAACTAATCGCAATTTTCGTTTTAGTAAAACCGTTCAGCCCTAATGTGCATCTATCTTCTGTCTAAATTCATCATTCCAGAGAAATTACATTTTTTTAGAGCCTCTTATTGTCAGAAAGATGGAACATTGGACCAAGAATTCAGGAGTGACAGACAGTGGGAAAATTATTTTAATAAACAAGGCGTTTATTCAAATAATCATAAGCGGAACTGCGGATCTGCAGCGGCTGCGCAACGCCTATCACTGGATACTTTGGTGGAGAATAACACAGGTAAGTGACCATGATTATCTGATGGAGAATGATTATCCATGAGAGTCACTTACCTGGTTTGGCATTTCAGTCCACCTCTATAGAACGTGGGAGGGTCCAGCCGGAGGGCTAGCCCAGAGGACAAGCAGTCCCAGAGGACAAGCACGTGTCTGAGCCTGGTCAGGGAAATAAATCAGAACAGGAAGGATCAGAGGTCCCGGAGTCCAAAGCCCAATGAGGGACACCAATGAAAACAGGAACAGGCTGGTCCAGGGTTCCAGGAATCCACAGACAGTTTAGGCAGAAAGTTCAGACGGGAACAGGGAAGTCATGAAGCATGTGTAACAAACTCAGATTCAAATCCACAACTCTATAATGATCTAGCCTAAAGTCGGGAACTCTTGAGTTTTCGGTTTCACAACAGCTGCTGTGAATTAATTCAATCAACTCCAAGTAGAACCACTCAGTGTTTAACACATGCGTAACAAGTGAAAAGCCATTATCAGTAAAGCACCGATTCGACAACTCACCATGACATAAGGCAACAGGAAGTGCCTATTTCACCACATTGGAACTAGAGATTTTAATGCAGAAATGCAAAGAAATAGAATAAAAAAGGAGAATGTGTTTAAAAGATAGAGAAACAGCACTGCAGCTCCAAAGGAGAGGAAGATGGTAAAGGAGAAGATTGCTGCTCGAGTTAATGCGTAAGTTTATATGAAGTGAGGCCGTTTTTAGATTTATTAAAAG